CATTGTCATTGTCATTTGCGGTTTGTTGCTGTTATTGGGGGCTTATTTATTCCAGACAACAACAGGAATGTGAGTGCCTGCTGGATGGCCCAGGAGAAATCCCACTGAGGTCACCAGCTCCGGTTGGGAAAATGTGGAAGTCAAAAGGTCACTGTCATTTTTAAAAGGAAGCAGAAGAGAGTGAGACACAGTGAGAGTGCGGTGCCTCTGTTTGTCCGAATTCTGGGTCTTAACAAGCCACAGACCTTCTACCGTGCTGCAGACATTCATAACTCATCCACTAATCCATCCCTTTAACCAAGGGAATCACTGAGCACCTACCAAGTGCCAAGCACCCTCCTAGCACTGACGATACAGTGCTGACCAAAAGAGGTGTGGTTTCTGGTTCCTGGAGTTCAAATCTGTTGGAGGACATGGACAAATGAGTCAGACCATCAGTGTGATTAGTACCAGGATGCAGGCAGCACAGGGCAGAGGCCAGCAGAGCCAAGAGGGGGACTCCCATCCAGGCTGCATGGTCAGAGATTCTCAAATTCCTCTTCTAGCAAAGGAACAAAAACAGGAACCTGGCCAAGCACAGTGGCTAATGCCTGGAAACACAGCACTTTGGGAGGCCAAGGTGGGAGTATTATTTGACCCCAAGAATTGAAGACCAGCTTAGGCAACATAGCAAGACCCCATCTCTACAAACAATTGAAAAAATTAGCCAGGTATGGTGGTGCACACCTCTAGTCCCAGCTACCCTGGAGGCTGACGTGGAAGGATTGCTGAGCCCAGGAGGTTAAGGCTGCAGTGAGCCATGATCACACCACTGTACTCCATCCTGGGAGACAGAGTGAGACCCTGTCTTAAAAATAAAAAAAAAAAAATAGGGGTGGGGAGGGAAGAGAGGGTGGGGAAGGATAACATGCGGAGAAATGACAGATATAGTGTGCACCTAAAGTAAAATAAATAAATTTTTTAAAATAAATAAATAAAAATTTAAAAATAGAGACTTGACTGGCTTCTTCCCATCAGGAAAACTAAATAATCAGTCATTTACATATTAAGTGTGAGCTCTGCAATGAGAAAACACAAAAGAAAGTATTTAGTAACTGGATTTAGGCATCGATTTTTTTGAGGGGGAATAACTGTTGAAATATAAATTATACAATAGTAGTGACAGCAATTATTTTTTGAATGGATACTTTGAGGATTATATTGTTTATTAAAAGATTGAGAACTTCCATAGATTATTTGCTGCTTCCCTGCTTCCTATCGCCCTCCAAAGACTTCCACTGCCTGGGACCCTTCCCACAATTCAGCAAATAAATAGTTAAAGCCTGGCTCAGCAGAGAAGTGTCTAGGGACCCTGCTCCTATAGTTCTGATTGGTTTATACCTGGTTGCTACATTTATTAAATATTATTCTGGGTAATATTAATATCACTCTTGCCTAACATGGAGAAACTGAGGCATAAGTGAAGTAACTCACACAGGTGGCTGAGTCAAGATTTGAACCTCTGATTCAGAGCTCAAGCTGTTAACCTCTTGGAAGTAGCAATGTCACCTGGACCCCAGTGGAGACTCACAGAAATAGGAGACCCGGTTCCTGTCCTCAGGGGGCTTGTAATCAAGCCAGGGAAAGTTCTTAATAAAGCTGGTCATTGGAGTGTCTGGTGAACGTGTGATTCTCTCTGGAGTCTGAGAAGAGAGGCTTGCAAGCTGGAGGGACTTCCTGGACAAAGGGTAGCAAGGGAAGGACTAGCCAGGAGGAGGGGTCCCTGGGAGGGGCTCTCAGTATAGAAAGCAGCATCAGCTTTGGAGCTGCCACGCTGGCTGGCTGGGGACTTTATTCTCTACTAAGAGTGAATGTCTTGTGCTTTCATTTCCCTGAGGGAAGTCAAAGCAAGAAGCCCTCACTAACTCACAAATCAGCTGCTGCCTCAGTTTCCCTATCTGTAGCAATGAGACTTATATCCTCCACATCCTCCCATATGTCTCTTTCCCTCCCAGCATATGTCAGGGAACAACATGGTATTGGGGAAAGATCCCAGAACCAGGATCTGGTCCCATGTCAGTCACCTCATCTGTCAAATGGCATAAAAAAAATATGATGATGTTAGTGAGTTTCAGAGACAGCAGAGCATATGGTCAAGAGCCTGGGTTCAAAGAAAAGCTCCACCACTTTCTTCCCAGCCAACACTTGGCCCATTGCCACACATCTTTGTGCCCCACTCCTCCTCCAGGAAGGACACCATGATTGCAGTACTTATCATCTACAGTGCTATGACAATTAAGAGACTTAATGCTTGCAGAGCATCTAGCCCCTTGTCCTACTCCAGTCAATGCTCAGTTTTTGTTTGCTGCCACCATCCAGGACAGCAACTGAGCACTCACTGTGTGCCAAGCACCAGGCACTGTGCTCTTTATCTGCTGTGTGACCTTGGGCAAAGCTGGGTCTCACTCGCCTCAACTGTCAGACAATAATGCCATTCGGTGCATGCTGACTGCATGTTAGGCGCGGAGCTAAGCATTTCGCATTCCTCATTTCATACGATGCTCTCCACAATTCTATGAAGTTGATACTATCATTATTCCTTTTTTGCAAATGAGAAAATTGAGGCTTCACAAGCCATGATCTTAACCCTATCTGTGTCATTGTAAAGTTCCAGTCGGTTTAAAAGTACCTTGAAAAGTATAAAGTACTGCATCTCTTCAGAAAACGTCTACCGTCAAATCCAGTTTCTCCCCAGCATCAGTTACTATTTTGCTTCTTTCCCGTAACAGTTTTTGTAGCTACTGTTTATGGAGCATTGACTACGAGCAAGACACCATTTTCGGCACCTTATCTGCTTTATTTACCTCCTTGAATCTCATAACAACCCTGTCAGAGAGGCAATAATTATCGGCTCCATTTTACAGATAAATGTGGCACAGAGAAGTTAAGTCACTTGCCCAAGATCACACAGTGGTGATGTGGCCAAGCAGAAATTCTAATGCAGGCAGAAGGCAGGGAGGCTGGGTTTGGGAGTGAACAAAGCTCACCTGGGGTTTGTTTATTCCTGAAATAGTTTCCATCATCTCACTTCAGATAAAACTGAACACATCTCTTTCAGATCAGTTGTTCGCAGGGCCAGTGCTACTTTCTGTGCAGAAAGATCGGTATTTTTTAACATGCAAATATTTCTCTTCTCTAATGACTCCACCCATCTGCAGGCACACTGGAGTCTGTGTCTGAGTCTAAGGGGGCATCAGGCTTCTCCTCAAGAGAAGCATGTGGATCAGCCTGTGTCAAGCCAGCTGTCCCTGATGCCTGGAATTGCATTCTATGTGCCCAGTGCGTTGCCTTGACAGACCAAGCGTGAGTCGCCTGGAACAATCTGGTGCCCTTGTCTCCCACGTGTACACACACACACACACACACACACACACTGGCGTGCCCATACCCACAATCCCTGCACACCTGGGCATGGGATGGGGAGGGTAGCTATTGAACATGCACTCACAAAATACACAGACTTTGAAACCTCAGCAGAACTAGTTCACACACCTGGGGCGCAGAGTTATCAGCCTCAATAAAATTCAAGTCTAGTGTCAGATCACACAGTAAAACAGAAGCCCCATTTCTCATCCAAGTTCTTTCTCACTCTTTCCAAATAGAGCTAAATTTGGCATTAGGCTGACCTCCACCCCCACCATCAGAACATCAAACACCTGGTTTCAGTATTTATGACAGTAAAAACCCTTTCTCACCCTTAATATGTCTGTCGTCTGTCTGAGCGCATTGCTTTTACAGATGATGTGATATTAGTAAATTTTTTCTTTTTTTTTTTGGCCATTATGTCATAGGCTTGACAGGGTACAGGATAAACCGGTCCCCGTTAAAACGTTCAAAGTGCTGGCCGGGTCTTGCTTTCAAAAACGCAGCTCAGCTAAAAATATGTGTCATTGAGGTCTGCCGTGGCAAAGCACACGATTTACCTAACCCAAGGCATTTGGCTTCAATCTAGTTTGTAAAAAAAAAAAAAAAAAAGCCTCTCTTATTTACTGAAATTGTCATTTCTTCCCCCACTCCCCAGAACTGTAATCAGCCACGCAGAGCACAAAACCTACATTCAACTCTGATTTTATGACACGAGGCTAACTCCTCCTCCGCAAATTTATTTCACTTCACTCTCGAAGCCCTTCCCACTTGGCAGCTGGCCCCACTGCCCCCAACGCCGTGCTCCCCTCTGAAAAACACAATGCTTTGCCCGTTTCCACTTTTAAAGACCGATTCATTATTGTGCAGTCAAAGCCCCTCCGCAATTCCGACCAGTTAACTCCCTCTCCTAAGATCTGAGTGGCAGGACACTAGGGCTAAATCCAAGAGAAGGGGGAAAGAAGCAGAAACAGGGAAAGTAGAGTGTAATCAGATCCCCAAACAAACTGATGGTACATTGCACTTTAAAGGGGTAGCTGGAGGACTTTATCCAGGAGGCACATCCAAAAAGGGGAAGAAATGTTTTAAATGTCCCTCCCAGAGCCTCTGCTGCTGCTGTAACTGTTAGAAAGCAAAGTCTTCCATACTATACTTACTATGTAGTAAAATGCCAAGCCTGTTCTCGTAAAAGAAAAAAAAGTAATAATAATAATAATGCAGCGTTATGGCATTTGCTGTCAAAAGCCGAGTGCTGAAACGGTTAAACAGCCAGCGGTTAGTAGCGAGAATCCCTCCCGGTGCCCCGTGGAGGGGAAAATCCTCCCGACAGACTGGCCCAGGGAATCCCGGCTCGAGACGCTTCCCTGCCCCCGCGCAAAGTTGTCCAAAGTCGCCTTCCCAAAGGTCCCTTCCCTGGCCGGGGCGCGGGCGCCCCTCCGCGGGCCACACTACCTGTGCGCCCAGAGCGAGCAGGGTCCCAGGCCTCCCGCACCGACCTCTGCCCGGAGCCGAAAGTGCTGCCCGGGACGGACTGGAGCAGCAGGAAAGGGCCGGGAGGAGCGAGCGGAAAAGGCTGGAAGGGATCGAGAGTCAGTTACCTTGGTCCACAGACCCCATGATGCGGAGGGGATGGCAGTGCCCCAGTCTGAACGCAGCCTCTCTCTGCATCTGGAGGGGACGGGGGCTTGGCGGGTGTTTGGAAAGGGGGGTCTGTTTGTATAGACCAGCAGCCGAGGGGGCGCCGTCTTCTGTACCGCGTGCCCGCGGGGCTGCCCTGGCCAAGGAGCCTCGGAGCGGCCCGGGAGCTGCGCGCCTCCCGGCTCCCGGCGCGGCGGAGTCGGCGCGGCTCCGCGATCGGGCTTACTCCAGAGGCAACGCGACTTCCTTCCCCGCGCTCCGTGTTTATAGGCTTTCAATGCAGTAAAATAACGGGATTCCCTCACTGTTTCCTCCTGTTTATCCAGCGCCATGGAAACCACTGGATCCCGTCCATCTCCAAAACTAAGGGCTTTCCTGCAAACTTCACACTCAGGAATCCATGACGTCGCCTCCTCCGCAGCCAGCCAGCTCCGTGGCTCCTTCGGCCGCCAGCACAAGTCCCTGATTGTTCGCGAGAAAAGTCTGGGAGAGGGAGCGAAGCCGGCGACGGCGAGAAGAAGGGAGTGGGGGCGTGCGAGTGTCCAAGTCGGCCCTGCAGGAGCTCCAGGCGGCTGTTTGCAAGGAGTGCCCCAGCCACCGCCTTCCCTGGCCCTCGGCAGCTTTTCATAAATCATGCCCGAGACTCCCAAGCCCCCCATTTGCCAAGCGGGTGCCTCTCGGAGAAAGCGGCCCAGGGTTCAAACCAACACCCCAGGTTGTCCAAGCCCCTGGACGTTCGCCCAGGGGGCCCTTCCCAGTCCCTCACTGCCTCTGCCTGCCCAGATTTTTGTGTGTTCAGGGATGGTGGGGAGGAGGAAGAGGAGAAAGAGGAGGAAGGAAAAGAAATAAATAACGGTGCCTTGTGTCAACTCTCCAACTTTGAGAATTTTTTCTTCAAAGAGCTTATTTTTAGATTCATTTAGAAAATCCAAGGTTTCCAGTGATGCTCAGAGGCTCCAGAAATAATGAAATGGCCAAAGAGAGGCTGAAACCAGGCAACCCATGTGTTTACACATGCTCTGAATAAACAGGAAAATAAAGAGAAGGGATATCATGAACTTTGCACGGTGTCCAGGAGAAAGTCCGTGCGATGCCATGCATGGTTCACAGCAGTAGGCCACGGAACCCCCGGAAGGTCCGTGGGGAAGGGGAGGAGGGGGAGAGGGAGAGGCGCAGCACTCAGGATGCCTTTTCTGGACTTGAACTAGGTCTGCCTCTTCACCTGCCTGCAGGGTGGGAAATTCTGAGCCCAAGGATAAAGCTGGCTTTGAAAATGGACTTCAGATACTGTTGTGAGCTCTGATAAAATTGTGGGTAGCAACCAAGGCTGGTGACTCATCACATACACACCCCCCCTGCACGCTCTCACAGAGAGACTTGAACTTAAAGAGGCATTGAGAGGCAGCTGGCTCCATCCGTGGGACCACTCTGTTTTCCAGCACTGGCCCACAATAGCCTCACTGGGCAGCTTTCAGACATAACCACTTCTGCTGGAGATAGATGCTGGCCTACAGAGACCAGCTGGAACTGGGCCTGAGAAAGCCCCACCCCCAACCCTGCCCAGGGGACTCTCTTCAAGCCTGCCTCAACCACGGTGGCCTCCAGCAGGGAAGCCTGTTCCCCAAAGAGCAGCCATTATCTGTCCACCTACTGTGTGCCAAGGAATTCAAAGCAAGGAAGTCTCATTGACTCTTCAGTAAGTCAAAAATCACACAGCCACCAAATTTCTTGCAACCACTCTGCAAAGAGGGGATCCCCTCCCCCACTTTCCAAAAGGGAAACTGAGGCATACAGCAGGCAGGTGGCTTGCCTGACGATTTACTTGGCAAATTCCGGAGTACAGCCTTTAAGGATGTACAGGTGGTTCTCTTTAATGGCGCCTATTGAGGAAGACTCATTCCCTGAGGCCTCTTTGGCCAACCATCTGAAGCAGGAATGGGGTGATCAACCGTCCTGCTTTGCCTGGGATTGAGGGGGCTCCGAGAATGTAAGACTTCCAGTTTTAAAGCTGAGAAGTTTCCAGGCAACTTGGGATAGGTTGGTCATCCCAGGCATGAATGAAACTCAACTTCCTTTTGCCACTATCCAGACACCAAGGAGGCCTGCTAACCATTATCTTCCAAAGACAGTTGCTACACTTAGCAGCACTGAACAGCACACCCCACTCAGTCCTTACCAGGTGCCAGGCCCTGAGCTACACTCCTCTGTAAATTCCCACTCACAACCCCACTGCAAAGTAATAGACTAAAGCTGAAAGGGGTTAGCCCTGTGCCATCCAATACAGCAGCCATGAGCTGCATGTGGTTATTAAAATGTTAAATAATTAACAATTAAATCTAAGTGTCAGTTCTTCAGTTGCACAAACCATGTCAAATGCTCAAAAGCCCACACGTGGCCAGTGGCTACCAAATTGAACAGCACAGAACAGACTATTTCCATCACCATAGAATGTTCTCTCGGGCAGCAGGTGGGTCAGACAACCTGAGAGGCCACTTAAAGCTCGGGCCCTACAGTCAGGTGCTCGGCTTTGCCATGTCACCACTTACCCCACTCTGTAAAATGGGGACACCAGGAATCCCTCCTTAAAGACTTGTAAGGATTCAATGAGTTTATTTCATTGAAGTGCTAAGAACAGTAAAGCACATAACAAATCCTCAAAATATGAAAGAAAGGAAGGGAGGGAGGGAAAGAAAGAGAAAGAAGGAAAGAAAGAAAAGAAAAGAAAGAAAGAAAGAAAACCTTCCCAGTCAAGGAATGGGTAGTGGTTAAGCCAGGAGCAAGACTGTTGGCCTGCGTCTTCATGCCCCTCCTCTCCAGGCCTTCCTACAGCTGCCATCTCCAGATCATCAGACAAGCTCAGCAAGGTGTGCTTCCTTTCACCCTCCCACTGAGCTTGATGCTGTGAGCCCCATTGACAGATGTGCAAACTGAGGCTCTACAAATTGATGAGCACAGAGCCAGTAAATGGCCGGCCCAGAGTTGAACCCAGCTCTGTTTGGCAACAAAGCCTGTGTTCTTGGCACCATATCCCCTGCCTCCCAGAATCCTCCCTTGGAGCCAGGGTCTTGGAGGCCAGAAGCGAGAAAGGAAACAAGCCTGCTGGGCCCTCCTCTGGCGGACTCATTATCGGGGATAAATTTAGACTCAGTCCCACCCAAACGTAGGCCTCTGAGGCGATGCCCCAACTCCACAGGTGTCCAGCACTGCTGAGCGGGGGATGTCTCTTGGAACACGAGAGAATCAGCATTAGCCACATTTTTATAGAGCCCACTCTTTGTCACGGTTAAGCGTTTTTCCCTTTCAAAGCACATTAATACTACAAGGGCTGGAGCCGGGCAGTTGCAGCTGAGTCACCTAATTTGCCCTTCTGGGCTGCAGCTTTCGGCTTCTTAGTTTAGCCGTTCCTCGGATCCCTCAGACAATTTCTTTCCTCTCCTATTGCCAGGGCAAGAAATATTTTGTCCTTTTGAACTGAACCACCCACTGTTTTTCACTTCTCTCGAGCACTCTCCCTTTTTTAAGGGATGCTCCAAGCGGGGTGGGTGGGGAGCTTCCGCCCACTAAATTATCCACGAAAACTCCCAAAAATAGAGGCTCTCAGCTGGGGTGGGAATGCACCAGCAAGTAAGGAACAAGCAAAAGAGAAACTGAATCAAAGCAAATAGAAGGCGTCCAGGTGGCCGTAGGGGGACTGGTCCAGGGAGGCTGCAGAGACAGCTGGGTTGGAGGAGACCTTGAATCACCAGGGAAGCCTTTTATTAGATTCTCTTTCCTCCGACAGCCTCATCAATCACAAACACCGATATTTCTGCTGAGACACCACTTCACTGATGCTGCCCCAAACAACCGATTCAACACCAGGGTTATTTAAAAGGCCTAGGGCAGCTTAGGTGAGGGCCCCTCTCTGCACCGCTCAAGTGTCATCTCTGCGCCAGTCGGTCCCCTTGACTGTCAACCCCTTCCTGGCTAAAATGTAGACAGCAGTTAAGAATTGGTCTAGGGCCGGGCGCAGTGGCCCAAGCCTGTAATCCCAGCACTTTGGGAGGCCGAGGTGGGCAGATCAAGAGGTCAAGAGATCAAGACCATCCTGGCCAACATGGTGAAACCCCATCTCTACTAGAAATACAAAAATTAGCCTGGTGTGGTGGCACACACCTGTAATCCCAGCTACTCAGGAGGCTAAGCCGGAGAATCGCCTGAGCAGAGGTTGCAGTGAGCCAAGATCATGCCACTGCACTCCAGCCTGACCACAGAGTAAGACTCCAACAACAACAAAAAATTGGTCTAGAGTTCTACATGTCTCAAACATAGAAAGTAGGACCAGCGCAGGTGTCTGAAAGGTTTATTGACCTACCTAGATAACAATGAACATTTACAGAGCAATTGCTATATGGTAGGCATTAACTCCTTAAATCCTGCTGACAACCTTATCATGATCATTTTACAGAGGAGGAAACTGCAGCACGGAGAGGTCGTAGAGTTTTCCCAAGGTGGCACAGCCAGTAAGTGACAGAGGTGGGATTGGAACCCCAGCCACCTGGCTCTCAGGTGTTTTCTCAATTGCTCCGAGAGGCTCCCCATCAAATATATGTTTGCCAGGCTTATTCCATGGGCATGGCTCAGGCTAAGCACTGGGGATGGGGTGAGGACACAATTAGAAGTCATGGACCTTGCCTTCCACTTGGTTGACAAGGACACTGCCATGCCGAGCAAGCAGGAATGATTGACAGCTGCAACAGGGACTGCCCATGTGTGCTGTAAATGCTGGAGGTATTCACCGAGGATGGGCAGTTCAGCCTGGTGAGCTCTGACCAGAGGAGTTTTCCTGCCCGATCTCTCTCTTTGTCTGCTGCCATCAATGTAAGACATGACTTGCTCCTCCTTGCCTTCCACCATGATTATGAGGCCTTCCAGCCATGTGGAACTGTAAATCCAATTAATCCTCTTTCTTTTGTAAATTGCCCAGTCTCGGATGTCTTTATCAGTGGCATGAAAACAGACTAATATTGAAAGACATGAGCATCTGAGAGGCCAGTGTAGCTAATGAAGCACTAAGCATAGTGCCTGGTACACAGTAGGTACTCAATAATTGTAGCTACAGTTACTATCATCTTGCCAGTACAAACACTCATCATTCTTTATCACCCAGCTCAACCAGATATACCCTTTTAGAAGTGCCCCCATTGTCTTAGAATAAAATTCAATTCCTCACCAAGGCTGATGTAGCCAGCCTTTAGAAGGTCCAAGTGGCACCCACCTCGGTGTTCCTGCTCCTGAGCCACATCCTCCCAAATGGGCAACACAAGGTTATGGCAGAAATGAGATGCGTGACTTCCAAGTCTAAGTCATAAAAGGTGTGTGGCTTCTGCACTGCTGTCGTGGATACCCCACCTTAGGGGAAGTCGGCTGCTGTGTTGTGAGGACACATGGGCAGCCCTTCGGAGAGGCAGCGTCTCGGTCAAGCCTTCAGATGACTGCAGCCACAGCCAATAGCTTGACTCGGGAAAAACCCTGAACCACCCAACTGTCTGTTCCCAAGCCACAGAACCTGTGACATGATAAACTTGCTCGTGTAAGCCACAACGTTGAAGAGGAAGTAACAGAAAATGAATGCAATGCCTCTAAGGTCCAGCCCTACCCATCTGTCTGGTCTCCCGTCCACTCCCTCTGAGCCAGACAGCTCCTGGCTTTTGTGCTTCCTTCCCTTGGCCTGGGACCCTTCATCCCTAGATGTCTATGGCTGGCTTCTTCCATCTTCTCAGCCTCAGTTTACATGCCATCCTATGACAGCATTCTTCCATGACCCTCACCTCTGAAATAGGCCCCTCTGCCCTGAAGCTCAACATCACCCCGCAAATCTCAATCCCAACGCCCTGTCATATTTCTTTATAGCATTTATCCCTTACCACAAATAAATTACATATTCATTTGTGTATTCTACGTCTCCTTTGCCTCCCAACTAAAATATCAACTCCACGAAGGCAGGAACTTTGTTTTACTCCCTGCTGTGTCCTCAGCACCTAGAGTGATGCCTGGCATACGCTTGGACCTCAAAAATGTTTGTTGAGTGAATAACACAATATGAAATTGTCTCATCTGTTTGTTTACTTGGTTATGACTCATCTCCCCACTAGACTAGGAAAATAGGGGCATGTCTGTCTTACTCGGGACTTGGCATGGTGTCTGGAACGGGTGGTACTCAGTCAATTACCCTATCTAGCATCTGTGATGGACACAGGGACTAACTTATTTGGGTCTCACAACAGCTGAGATGAAGGCCACTATTATCCCCACTTTGAAGGATGAGTGGGGGAAACTGAGGCACAGAGGCCCAAGGTCACCAAGTAGTAAGCAATTGAGTATGAATCTGGAGAATGGCAGCCTGGCTCCAGAGCCAGATTCCTAGGTCCTGTCTATGTTTGTTGAATGAATTAACAACAGGCACAGCCACGATGGTCTGGCCACCTGCTCAGCCCGCTGGGGAGGACCGTCACTCTATCACGTGGCTGAGGAGGTGAGTGAGGTGCTCAGCTGGGGTTGGCAGAGAAGAAGGAACGGGGCGGTGGCTGGCAGCTGGGGAGGCCTTCCCCATCTCCTAGCGATGGAAAGGTTCGCCTCATCCGGAAAGAACTCCCAGTTCCATGGTTGTGGCAGGGAGTGAGGTGTCTCCCCGGCCTGGTTCGTTTCAAAATACATTGTCTTGCTTTTAATAGCCTCCCTGATCAGCTCTTGGAGGTTCTCATGACTTACTGTTCCCAAAATAATACCCGGCGCCGCTTTTTCCAACTCAGAAGTG